GGTTCTTAAGTGGGCAGTGGAGGGAGTCCCAGATAAGAAGCGCAGGTGTGCTGTGGGGAGTGGGGGAGGCCCTGGGAAACTTGGCACAAGATGTGCCTGATTTCTGAGGGTGCTGCAATTTGGTGCGACCTCAGGGAGGCTAGAGAAAGAAGGTGTGAGGTGTGTGCATGCATGTGTGTAAGCTCAGAAGGCCAGGAAAAGAATATGCTGTGGTTCAAGGGCTTCAGGGTGTGCCACAGCCCCAAGACTTCAAGAAACCTCTGAGCTGTAATGCAGTGCCCCTGGAAATCTCAGCTGCCTGTCAGTGCAGCATAAAGCTGCTACACCCCAAGAAGCCCAAGCAATATGATGCAAAGTGGCCAGACCTCAGGAAACACAAAGGGGCTTCTTGGCATATTTGGATTCTGGAACTGCAAGAAGCACTTGAGCTGCAGTTGAGCATAAAAAGGGGTACTGGAACAGCAATAAGTTAGGGGACCAATTGTCACTTCATTCAGGACCGTTGTAACTTCAAACAGTCACTGAATGGTTATAAGTCGGGCATTACCTGTACTACCATTCACAATCTTGTATTCTCCAGGTGCACTGAAGCTTATGCTGGCAGAGGATAATATATGCTGTACAACACTTCAGTGGGTACAGGGTCAGAAGGGGTTTGGAATATGATCCTTCTGCTTGTCTTTGGAATGATGCAAGAATAAGTAATTTTCTTAAGGTGATTTTTTTTTAAGATAAGAAATAATATTTCATTGCTCTTAAAGTTGATTTTGGTAAGTAATTCCATAAAACAATTTATTCTGTAATTAAAAACAAATAACTCTATTAAAAATATATTATATAATTCTATATGTAAACATGGGGACATGCTGGGCTCCCAAATACGGACAGAAGCCTAGGAGAAGACTCATCCATACTTGTAGGGAGATTTCTAGCTTTTCAGAAGTTTTCTATTCTTTGGTTTCCCCATTTCCTTGTCTTGGACTTAAATGATACTGTTACATTGTTTGGACACTGGCAGCAAAGAAAAGTGCACAGTTGTGAAGTTTTGGTGATTGGATTTGGAAGTCAGCATAGTTTCTGAGAAAAAGAAAATGAAGCCTAAAAATTATGCCATCATCCATACTCCAAAGCTGATTTCTCTCACAAAGTATCTTTTAAGGGAAAGGGACTTGCTCTTTAACTATTTAAAAGTAGCTGAAGAAAAGATGGTCTTCTCTGAGCCCAATTCCTCTACCAAACTAAGATTCTCCAAATGAAAAAGGAAATAAAAACAAACTCTTTGTATTTAACTGGACGTAATGACTCCTGCCATACAAATTATTAAAATGTAGCAGATTCTATCATAATGATGAAGCAATTTCAAAGTTATTTATAAAATGAATATATCATAGGTTATCACCAATACTGTTTTGTCATATCAATTAATCACTCTTTAGAAGACGTATTTTACGATTATAAACCAGAAGCTGAAAAGCAACCTGACACTAGGACAGGCTACTGACACTATCAAGACACTGACAAATTAGGCATATTTCTAGGATACCTATTTCTGATTACGGATTCACCTGTAGGAGAAATTGTGGCATCCCTATCTCAGAATCTATAGGAATGCCCAAAGGAAGAAGGAAAATAAAATTCTCCAAGGCACATATTAGATGGAGAATGAATTACAAGTGAGAATAGATGACTTATATGTAGATGATTCAAATACAGATTATTCAAATGTAGCTAACTAAATGTTGCTATCTTGGAACATAACAGAGCATATTTGTCACTGCATACCTAGAATTATCAATGCAAGTATCAAATCATCTAAATTCTCAGATAAAGTGAGAGTAGGTAGGAGCTGTGTTTCCAAGACAACATATTGCCAGAAATATGCAGCAAGGTTGAAGCACTTTAGTCAACACAGTATATTTCTCAGATTAAACGAAAGACCCCCTACATTAAAACAAAACAATGAAATTGTTAAATATTGCATGGATTTAGGCACAAATGAAAGAAATGAATAGACAAAATCTGATGTTTAATCTTTTTATGTTGGGGAGTTTATTAGATGTTGCATTAAAATAAATGGAAATGCTTTCAAATACATGCACTTAGTCAGTATAGATTCTCCAATCTATAACAGTATTAAAATTATTCTGCTGTGTCAGTGATTCTTAAGCAATAACTCAGCCTAGGATGCTTACCAAACTTCATAAGTATTGTTTGTTTCTTCTGCCTTGCTTTTAAATGAACAGACTTTGTTAAAGTATTATGTCTTTATAGAACATAAAAAAATGAAAACTTCCCAAAATGTCTAAAAGTTTGGAATTTATGCAAGAAATGAATACTTAAAATTCATTGTTCTTATTATGATGTTCTTTTATCAATATAAAATTGTAATTATTATAACAACTGGCCTTGTTCACATGACACACACTGGAGGTAAGCAGGTCACATGAATTTGAAAAGTGGTTAGCATCCCAAACAATGAATCCTAATGGAATTCAATGTGGCCCAAAACAGAACTAGTTTTAGGCTAAATTGCTCCTGCCTTTAGATCATGTTCTCTTGACATCATGCTAAGCTGCGTAATGCATACTTTGTAGATTCTCTTTGACTTTCAGTTTATTTATATAACAGAACTGGTCTGGATTGGTTGTTGCAGTGAGTTATATTCTGGCTTAGCAACAACAAGTAATCATATTCTTGGCTTATGATTCTGATTTGCAAGGAGAATCAGAAGTTCTGATTCAAACCTTAACACAAAACAAGGTACATTTTGCTTGTTAGCTGCTATCATTGGTAGCAATGCAGGTGTAAGATTTTCTTGTTCTTCAACAGGCTGAAATTCTAAATAATTCATACTGTATGTCCAAATCAACGCATTAACTGAAAATTTTTTAACAGTAGATATTTCACAAGATTATTATAATCAGAAGTATGTGTATAGTGCTTAATCAGCTTAAAATATCACACCCAATTTCACAATTGATTAGAAAGTTTTAAATTGTGAAAGAATTTATATAAATGGCATGATTTATAGCACTTGGTAAACAATTCTATCTTTTTTATACATACCTATTTTAAAAAGGATCCTGTGTTGCATTTTGGCAGTAGATTAGACTTTTTTTTTCTTTAGAAACATTTAGAAACATGCAAATGCATATTAAATAGTGATTTTTCAGATTATTGTGTTAACTGTGGAACTAAAAGACATATTTTAACATGTCTTTACAATGTTAAAGGTTTACAGGTTTAATTTGAAATCCCCTTACATCAAGTCAGAGAAAAGGATCCTCTATATTTCAGTATTTCCTACACCAAGCAGAAACATCTCCAGGGTCTGGACTTTGTGTGTATGCAAATGTGAACTCTAGCAAGGTAGCAAAACACTGTATTAGGAATACAGATATTCTAAATAAATTTGAGCTTCTAAAATACTGATGGTTCTGTTAGGCACAAAGAACTCTCCTCCTTCAATTTATTTTAGGTCTGCTCTATATCACATTAATGAATCATTTTGTCTACTGCTTTACAAAGCGTAATGTGTTAACTTGTTTTGACTCAATTCATTCCAAGTTACTTTAACTAATAATTTAACTTGTAATATTTTATTAGATAGTATGCCTTATTTAATATAACATGGAAGTAGTGCCAACAAAAAGTTCTCCCTTTTAAGATATGCAATGGGTCTTACAAAATGTACATGAATTCCCAATACATATATTAACTGTAATGAGACTAAAGCCAAATCCCATAATTTAAAATCTAAATATACATATGATATGGAATGGGATGTTCATTCACTTTCCTAGGTAGACAAATGCTTACTACTTTTTTTCCAAATAAAATATAAAGTTTGTCAAAATTGTTTTAATTGTAATTAGGTGAAATTGATCAAAATGTACAATTAGAAATTAATACTTAGAAATTAACAGAAATCTATGAAAATCCTGTATATGTTGTATTGTAGATTGTCTTTCCAACTTAAAGTACAGTATTTCCCTAATTGTCTACTTTACTATTTTCTTTGTATTATCATACAATATAAACCATTTTACCACAACAGAAGAAAAAAGGCCAGGACTTGAAGGAAGACCAAACTTAATTTTTTTTTTTTTTTAAATCGTATGAAAATTTAATGATTCTTAAAACCTGGCTCAAGTTTCTCACTTAATAGGTTGGCAAATAAGCTACATCTACATTGGGATCGAAATTAAGAAATCAATGCTCTGTTATCTCGATTGCAACACTACTTTGCTACTTCTGTTGCAGCCATACTCTCTACTTAAAACGATTTATGCTACAAGGAACGACCTTTGTATTCTCAGCAGCATGGACACATTTGAGACTTCTCTATGTACACTTGCGGGTATGAACTTTTCCCGTGTTAAGGAAACTGACAATGAAGGAGAGCAAATGAACAGTTTGAAATGGATACCTGGAGTTCCCCCGTATCCCATTTCCTCCTCTTCCTTTTCAAAGAAAACAAAAAGGGAGAGAGGGGGGGGGGGACCCGAGTGCAACAACTTGCCGTGGAAATCGACCGTAACGACCCTCCCCCTCCTTTTCCAGTTGGCATCAGACTGGCAGGAACAAGCTAAGCAAACAGAAAACAAAAACGGGCTACCGGAAGGGAAAGGGGGGGAAGAAAGAGGATTCCAGGGCTTTTTAGGACGAACCGCTGAAAGGGACCCTTGGAAGTCTTTCCACACCGCGCGAGGCCGGCACGCGCAATCGCGTCTCGAAAAGCACCCTACCGAGTAGCAAGGAGGAGGAACTTCCAGTAAAAAACTTTTTTTTGGGAACGGACGGAAGACCCCCGCGCGCCTCCCAAACCTGCTACTTGCAGGCGCGGGGCTGCTACGAAGCGGACCGAGAAGCTTCCCCCCCGCTCCTGGAAGTGGGCAGGATCTTGCGGGGCCTAGCGCTCTCCAGGCGCCACCGCCTCCGCGCCACAAGAGTGGATAAGGGGAGGAGGAGGAAGAGGAAGAACACGAAACTCTCCTCACCTGCTGCCCGCGGGCCAACTCCGGGGAAAACCGCCAAGCCCCCCCCCCCGCTGCCCTCCTCTTTGCAGGAGAGAGGGCGCTCTCGCTTCCGCTTCGGGACGAGAGGAGCTGGTCCGGCGGCGCGTCTCGCTGCTGGGGAGACCCGCGTCGCTGCTGCTACTCCTCCTCCTCCGCTCAGGTACAGTCCGACGTGCTCAGCCCTGCCACAACCGCCCCATAGCCTCCGGCCAGGGACTCCCGGGGAAACGGCGAGCCCAACCGTCGCTTCCAGAGGCCGTGCCGCAAGCCCAGGCCGAGAGGAGAGGGAGGAGCCGGGATGCTCGCCTTTCCACACGCACCAGGAGGCGGGCGACGAGGCGTTGGGTCCCCTTCAATGCAGCCCCAGTTCATCATCCCGACCTAACATGGCGGCCGCCGGAGACCCGAGGAGGGGAGAGGGAGAGGGAGAGGAGCGGGAGGCGGCCGTGGCGGCAGCAGCTGTTGCTGAGAAGCAACTCCGGCTCTCCCGGCGCAGCGGAGGCAGCTCCTACTTTCGTAGCTTCAGTTCGGCGGGCTCTCGCCAACGACCAACAGCGCCCCCTTCCTCTGGGAGCCGTCAGCCCTGACCTCCCGCTGCCGGGGGTGGGTGGAGGTCAGGACCGGCCGGCTAAGAAGGGAACTTGGAATTGCTTTAAAAGCAGGGAAGGGAGCCGGCGAGTCTGAGAGAAACCGGGATCCCGGGAAGTTTCTAGTGCAAGTTTTGTTCCTAATAGCGGCGGTGTTAAAAACTTTTCACGCGCAAAATGCTGCCTGTGTTAAATCCACCCGAGCAGCTTCGCCTTACGCGGAGCTGTAACTCCTTATTTCCACCGAGTGAGGGTGAGGGATAGGCTCTTGCTTCTTAACGTCTGGTTCGACAGCCCTCTCGAAGTTTGTTGAGCAGTCCCTTCCAGGGCAGCTTGTTTTCATCTAAAATTAGTCTGTAGAATAGAATGGATTCCAACATTTTAAACGATCTATTTAATAAAACAACTCCTCCCCTTCCTTCTGACAGAGGCAGGTTATAACTACCAGCGTTGTCCTGCTTAACGATTGAATAATCACTTACAAATCCGAGACTTTCCAGCAATGATCCTGAAAAAGGTTCTTCCATATACCTTTCGAATAATAAAAAAAACTATTCAGTTTGAAGCAATATCAACTGCTAACCTAGGAGCAGTATTGGAAACAGTCTCTTGATGTGGTGTAATTAGGGGCACTTCTAGACAAAGCTGTTAACAGTGGTGTGCATTTGTTCTTCATCTCAAGAATATTATGCACATAGGGTTGCCAGGTGTCCACTATTTGAGTGGACAGTCCACTTTTTTCACATTATGTTCACTATTTTTTTTCACAAAATAGTGGACATTTTTTTTTATTCAAAAGCTTTATGATGAAATGGTACGTAATCTAAAGCTGTACAGTCTACTTTTTTTACTACTTAACCCCCCCCTCCCCGCTTGTCCGCTATTTTTTGGAAGCAGACCTGGCAACCCTATATAATGCACAGCAGTTGTTTCCCAATTATGATATAGTTTTTCTTAAGAGAGACAGAAGAACATTAGTATGTTGGATAGCAGTGTAAAGACCTATTAGTGTGGGAGGAGCCTAACATTTTCTACAGACTGAAAAATCTGTTACAGATCAATATAATTACACTAGCTTTGAAAAGGACTGAGATTCAAAGGTATCAGCAGGGTTTGTGTGTGCTTTTAAAATAACAGATTTTTGTGGCTATGATTGTGTGATCAACGCTCTGCCTTTTTACAAAGCCCCCAAATGAAAACAAAAAAAGTTGGCTTTGTTCAGCAGTCACAGCTGCTATCTTGACCTGTTTTGCTGCCCCCCCCCCAGATGCCCTGTTGGGATTTTTTAATTAAGGCATTTTAAGTCACAGATGCTCAGAGATGTAACTCATTTCATATAATTTATTATAGACATTTGAACCTTACCGATTGCTGAGAAAGAAAACACGATTAGCTTTTGACAGTAAAAGTGTATTACTAATAAAATAAGCTGCAGCTAGACTGATGAGACAGGTTAATTCAAATGACTTTTTTTTTTTTTAGAAAAATAAGTTGGCAGATTTATGTTGAAGTTTTAATGAGATACAATTATGCTTAAGAGTTTATGAAGCCTTTTGAATTTTCAGTACTTCTGCATTAATAGGATCTAAAATGTATTCTGTTCTTCACACAAGTCCTAAAACTAGATACAGGTAATCCTCATAATGAAACCTGCCCATTATAGTTGGAAGGCTCAGTAGTGGGCCATGGCTCTCAGGTTGGGGACTCCTGCCTTACAGGACCTCTCAGTGGCTTTCAATACCATCAACCATGGTATCCTTCTGGACTGAGAAATGTTTGGGGGTGGGTGGCACCATTTTGGCTGGTTCACCTTTTTTCTATGGAGCCAGTTGGGGAGACATAGATCTTGCCCTTGACTCTCTGCTATGTGGGGTGCTGCATATCTGTCACCAAGATTTGAGGTATCATCAGTATGTGTATCACCACTATCCCTTGCGAATTAAGCGATGCTGTGTACATCTTATTCCAATGTTATGGGCTGTGAGGGTCTGAATGGAGAACAACAGGCTTCAACTGAACCCTGGCAAGATTGAGCAGCTTTGGGTTTTGAAATACTGGGGTTGCACTGCCCAAACAGGCCCTTTGCACAATCTGAGGGTTGTTGTGGACTCACAATTCCTGCTCGAGGAGCACGTGGCAATTGTGGCTAGGAGGACCTTTGTATAACCTCATATTGTGTGGCAGTTACACCTGTTCCTGGATCAAGGGGCCCTACATAAGTAGGTCATGCCCCGGCCACTTCCCAATAGGATTGCAATGTGCTCAATATGATGCTTCCCTTGAACAATATTCAGAAACTTTTGTGTTTTCAAAATGCATTGATGAGAGCAAATACGTTTGTCTCTGATAGTGCATATGTTACACCTCTGTTGTGTGAGCTGCATTAGTTACCAGTTTGTTTTTGGATCCAATTCAAGAGGCAGATGTTTGAACTACTTTCTTAAAACATGGAAATTGATGTCTCATGAAAAGAGCTTTGGTTCTATTGAATCTGGGTCACAGTAAAGAGAATAATTCTACAAAACTGAAAAGAAATGTATTCTTCTGAGTTTAAGGAACACAGTTAGATATGATTTTATTATCTATTTTGGAAAAGCCATAATAGCTATTAATATTGATATTTTTCATTTCATTTATATAGCATGTATATAGTTACCCATCTCGTAGAAATGGGTAAGTGGTGTAGCTGGTGTACAAAGATTAACAAAAGCTGAAAATTGAATAAGATTCAACAGAAAAAAAAAACTAACAGAGCAGTGTTTCTCAGCCTCAGCAACTTTAAGATGCATGGACTTCAATTCCATATTCAATTCTGGTTTTTTGGTGTTTTTTTTTACAAAATAAAATATCTCCTCAATCCTTATAGGAGATACAAAAAAACCACCTGTCTGGGTCAAGGGCTTTTGTGTCTCTTGTGTCTGGGTCAATCTAATGGGGTACAGAAAAAAAAGATGTATCTTCATATGACAATTGTATCTTCATATGACACTTGTGTCAGTACTATTTAAGATCAGTTTTGTGGCATCATATACTTGTTTATGTCTTCTTGATTTTAACTAAACTTATTCCAGATGTGTCTTTGCAGATTATTCTTTAGAACCCCTTTGTTATTATTTGAAATGAAAGTTAACATCACAGTTATGTCTAATATATTTTATAACAATTCTTCAATAATGCAAAGAAGTGTACCGAATACAGAACAATAAGCTTAATGAGTCATGCCCTGAAAATATTCCTGAGAATAATTCACACAAGAATATACAACAAAACTGAAGAGCGTCTAGGTAACACACAATTTGGTTTCAGAAACAATCTTGGTACATGAGATGCGCTATTCAGTATTCACGTTCTTGTACAGTGTTGTAGAGATGTCAATCACATGTGCTTCATTGATTTTGAAAAAGCTTTTGATAAAATAAGACACAGCAAACTATTAGAAATCCTGAAACAAGGGGGACTAGATGACAAAGACATCCAAATCATAAAGAATCTGTATTGGCATCAGGTAGCAAATGTGAGACTAGGCCAAAAATATTCAGCTGATGCAGAAATAAGAAGAGGGGTCAGACAGGGATGTATTCTGTCTCCACTGTTGTTCAATATCTACTCTGAGTCAATCTTCAACGAGGCACTGGAGAACATCGATCCTGGCATCAAAGTAAATGGTGTTTGGATCAACAACTTAAGATATGCTGACGATACAGTTCTGCTTGCCAGTAAGCATGAAGACCTTCAGCTCCTCATCAACAGAGTCACAGAAATATCTGATAACTACGGCTTGAAGCTTAACACCTCAAAAACCAAGATCATGGTCATCAGCAAACAACCCGTTAATTTACCACCAATAAATTCAGAAGGAATACCACTAGAAAAAGTTGAAAGGATCACGCACCTCGATTCTAATTTACATGAAAGCTGGGACATGACCACTGAAGTAAAGAAAGGATAGAGAAAGCTCAAACAGCATTCTTCAAAATGAAAAAGGTCTTCTGCAGTCACGACATAAGCCTAAGACTGAAAACCAGGCTTGTCAGATGCTATATTTTCTCTATCCTGCTCTATGGAGTAGAGAGTTGGTCTCTGACAGAAGGCCACCTGAAGAGACTAGAAGCATTTGAAATGTGGATTTACAGGCGGTTGTTACGTATAAGCTGGGTTGACAAGATCAGAAATGAGGAGGTGATAAGCTGCCTGGGAAAGCCAAGAGAAATCATCAAAACAATTAAAAAACAAAAATTAGAATATTTCAGACATGTGATGCGACACCCAGAAAAATATGGCATACTCCATTTAATCCTCCAGGGAAAGATTGAAGGCAAACGAGGTCCAGGCAGAAGAAGAACATCATGGCTTCAAAATCTAAGGGACTGGTTTGGACAAAACTGAGCAGCACTTTTTCATGTGGCTGCTGATA